ATTATTCAACTTATTCGTCTGCGTGTCTTTATATATATATTTTTTATTTTCTTTGTTTTGTTGTTTATTCATGTAAGTGGAGTGGAACTCTGTATAAACCCAAGTGGGTTTCGTTCCCCTCCTTGTACTGTATCCTTGTGATATTTTTGCAGAACAAAAAAATAAAGAAAAATAAAGAAATCATTATAATATGATGAGTTTAATGCTCAAGAAACATTTCTGATTATGATCAATGTTGAAAACAGTTTTTTTCTGATATATTTTTCAATATTTTTTCTGGAAACCGTGAAACTTTTTTTTCACGATTCTTTGATGAATCTTTGAAACTTTATTTTGAGATAGAAATCTTCTGTAACATTGAAAGTCTTTACTGTTACTTTTGATCAATTTAATATATCCCTGGAGAATAGATGTATTCATTTCATAAAAAATAAATAAAAAATCTTTCGTTTCTGACCTCAAACTTCTGAACGGTAGTGTAACAGCATCAACGACTGTGACCGTGGGGCCAATCTTCTGATCAGGTGTCACTGATATGTAAATATAGGCAGTTATGAATATATCCAAATGTAGAAGTTTGACACGATCCACAGACAGCTTAGTTTCCATAACTGCACTTTCACAGATTAATGAACTCAAAATATCAAGGAAAAGGATTTGATATTGGGCAGCATCTGTCCTTCAGGGGGCGCTACGCCACAGGACTGTAACGCTCACATTGAGGAGATAAATAAAGCAGTGATGAATGAGCAGGAGCTGGCACTGGTTCAGCCTGTGGTGCTGCCAATCCAGTTCCACAGCATGCCAGTGAAAACCATTACAACTCCAGGATCAACAATCTGTCAAGTCGTGCACACAGACTCCAGCACGTGTGCATGCAAACACACGCTCTCAGTCACATATCACCAGATCTCGGAAAGTCTTTAGAACTACTCTTCCACAGATTTCTAGAAGTTCCTCTTTCTGTAGCTGTCTCCCTGAAACTACTGTCACCGTCATTACAGTGCTTCTGGGTAATGAACTGATGGACATCATAGTGTTGACGAAACAAAAGATAACTTTAAAAGATACCTCAAAGTGCCATGGTATTAAAAAAGGTTGTTTTTCGGGCAGTACCTTGGCTTTTTTGGACATGATCATCATGGTTGTAGCTAATGTCCCACCGACTGTACATTGACTTGGGTCCCTCCGCATTAAAATATTACAAAACTTACAATCCAAAATGCCTCTTACCTGTATTTCTTCATCTCTTCATTTGTATAATATCTTTGTTTTTGATTAGCTACACTCCTGTTCAAATGTTTGGGTCATACAATATTTTTTTTTTTTTTTTTTTTGGAAAAGTATAAAAACAATAATAATACGTTCATTCAACAAGGACAGTAAATAAATGTATAATGTTACAAAAGATTCCTATTTTAAATAAATGCTGTACTTTTGAACTTTCCAGTTTCATATCCTGAAAAAAAAATGCATCACTATTTTTTGTTACATTGATAATAATCAGATGTTTCTTGAGCATCATATTATAATGATTTCTGAAGGATCATGTGACACTGATGACTTACAGCTTTAATCACAGGAATAAATTACAGTTTACTATATATTACAATAGAAAACAGTTATTTTATTTTATAACTTATTTTAAATTGTAATAATATTTTAAATTATTACAATTGTACAGTATTTTTAATCAAACAAGTGCAGCCTTGCTAAACAGAAGATGTTCTTTTTTGAATGGTGTTTCTTCAGTTTTATTACTATGTTATGTTATCTAACTTTTAAATGTATTTCAGCTGAATTACACACACATATGGTAGCACACATGGGCCTTAGTAGGTCAAATGTGAGGATCAGCCAGGTTTTCTTTGTTGCATTTACCACAGTGTAATAAATTCCTCTGTTTAACCGAGTGTATTTCTCTACTGAAGCGAAGAACTATTTTTTACAGAATGGCAATCATAAACTGAGCTTTTCAAGTCATTTTCACAGTGATGACATGAGAAATAAACAAAGATTTCCTTTAGTAGTGTGTCTTCAGCCTTTTCTTGACCTGTTCAGGCTGTTACTATTAAAGCTGCAGTCGGCAAGTCTGGCAGATCGAGTGGACTTAGGCAAAATTGTGAATGTTTACAACTCTCATGCCCCTCCCCCACTATCAACGGATACCCTCCCACCGAGTTCGTGCTCGAGTGTGTGTGCACCAGGTTATCTGTGAACGCGCCCGTCTCATCAGCATCCATCAACACCATGGAGTATTTGGAGGTATGCTGTCCTGGCTAATCTACCGATAGATTGCAAATGCTAACGTCATTTATACTCTAAATGAGCTTACTTGATTTGTTAGTGTTTTGAAAGCGAGATGCATCCGCCATCACTCTTCGTTACTGCGCGAACTTCAGGCGTGTGCATGTGATTGTAACGTGTGCGAGGGGTGGCGTGTGCCCGATCTGTGATTGACAGTCAGATCTCACACCCCCCCTGCGCTGATTGGACATGATGATCCGGGAGCTGTGGATTTTTGCAAAACAAATAACACGCTCCAGGTGGAGTTAGAAACTCGGGGTTTTTTCTAAAACAACTTTATTTATGTTGATCTGTCGGATTATAGTGTCGATTTCAGTGAATATGATAAAAAAAATGTTGCCGACGGCAGCTTTAATATCTTTAGTTTGATAAACCCACTTTCTAAGGCTCTGTTTACACCTGGTATTAAGATGTGTTTTGGTCGATCGGATCACGAGTAGACGAGAGAGACACTTTCCCGTTTACACCTGGTGTTTAAATCCGTCTCTTCAGTCCACTTTCAACCACTTCTGTCCTGATTTCTTCAAGGGGAGGGTCTATGGGCGGGTAAATGTATGGGTTTTAGCTTTAGTTTCTGCTCTGACAGCCGAAGACCAGCCGAACGCTGTGAGTGTGTGTTAGAAATCAGGAATGTTGAGAGAACATTGTGCTTGGTATGTTTTTCATCTTCAAACCCAACATGGGTCTCCAGCCGATAAAGTTTAAAATCCTGCCTGGCTAGCGCGCTTCCCATAACATTAGATCTGTAGGCGGAGATTAGGTGTCTTTTGTGGCTGTTTGAACACATTTGATCACATGAGCGTTTACACTACGAAAGCAATCCGGTCTAATGTGTTTTCGACTACCTCTGGAAGTGGTCAGAAGTGGACAAGCTCAAAACGTTTTAGACTCCGTTTACACCTGTATTTAGCGTCGTCCACTTGCGATCCAATCAACAAAAACGCATCTTATTACCAGGTGTAAACTAGCCTGGTAACACCAAACTCTGCTACTTCGCTTTGCTTCGTAGACAGAGTGGAATGGCATAATTGAAAAGTGTTTTCTTTCTCGCGGGAGGCGCTTGTCTGAAGTATGAAATCATTGGTTACCCGAAATCATTGGTTACACATAACGCAATCACCTCTCTCTAAAATAAACCTAAACCTAAAATACAATCTTAAACTCGGCGCTTTAGCGTCTACGTCGCGGCTCTCAGCCCGGCCTCTGTTCGTTGATTGGCCGGCTGTTTTCAGGCCGGAGGAAAACTGAGAGATAGGTCGCTATCTCAGACTGAGTACAGAAACGAACTGAAATTGAGCGGAAGTACGAAGTCTGACGTAGTCAGGCTAGGTGTAAACAGGGCCTTAGAAAAGAATGTGGTTATGCATTGATCCCATGTACGCATCTGGCCTCATTCTCCTTTTTTCCTTCCTTTTCTTCTATGGTGAGCAGATTTTGATTTCTTTGCTGACAGCATGAACTTCTCTTTAGTTTCAGAGCGAGCAGAAGAGCGCAGGATATCAGACTATGTTTGGAGGAGAATACCATCACTGCAGCCACACTACTGTGTGTTGGAAGTGTGTGTGTGTGTGTGTGTACCTTTGGGCCCTTTCCCTGGCGCTGGTTCCGCAGTGCTGCGGGTCCATATCAGCATGATTCCTCCTGAGTCTCCGGTCAGGATGTCTCCATTATTAAGGAAAGCCAAACACTGCACAAATTTGGGCTTCTCATATTTCTGTCAGAGACACAAACAAAAGTAATAAATGTAAAGTCAGTTTTTATGAACTCTGTACTAGTCAAGCTGACCTGCAGAACTAGTCTATAAATGCTTCTTGGAAATATCACTAAAATAAAATCTATCTTGACCCTTTTGACACTATTTAACTCAATATTTATGAATTTTCTCTGAAATCGTCTTGAAGGCAGATTAAGAGTTGAGTTCATTCGCAAAATATAGGTCATAGAATCCGTTTCGTTTTTTGTATCTGTAGGTTTGGTCTTGAAAATGACTGTGAACGCTAAAGCGAACCAGGACTAAATATCTTCTTTTTTTTGTTCCAGACCAAAAGAACCGAAATACACCCTAAATAAGCACAATCAGAAATGTATTTATGTGAAACAATATAACAAAGTAGTAATAAACAGTAATATCTACCTACAATATTCTTACTAAAACATCTTAATAATTAAAAAAAATGCCACACAAATACTATCATGAAGAGCGATTATGAGTGATTATGCTAAATAATCATTGAATTAAAGTTCTGAAAAAGTTTTTTAATGTTTTTGAAACTGGTCACTTGAGAAAACAACTCACAAGACAAAGAAGGATTTTGAAACTGGGAAACTACAAATTAAAAGTGCATTAAAAAACCTCATGATTTTTAATGATGTGCATAAAACATATCAGTGATATGCGTGTCCTTACACCAAAGATGCCTTGTTTGCGCGCCAGTGAGGAACCGCTCCAGGTCCAGAAGAAGATATGGGATTTCCCACAAGTCACAATGGTGTTGGCGTCAGTCGGGTGAAACTCCACCGCTAAGACCACTTCATTGGTTGTCTAATAAAACAGTACATTGCCAAAACCATCACATGAAGAACAAAGAGATGAAAAGGAGATAAAAGAGGAATGTGCAATGAAGCAGGGAGTGGAAAAAAGGTACAAGTGGAACAGACACGGCAAAACATGAAAGAGGGAGAAGGAAACTGCAACAAGATGAAAACGGATTGAGAAGAAAGGAGAAGGATATAAGATAAGGGCAAAGAAAAGAAAGGAAGGGAGGAAGGGAGTGGTGATATGTGTGAGAAAAGAAACGAAATGAATAAAAAGAGTGTGTCCACGTACCTTTAACTCAGCGATTTTTGATTTCTTCTGCCAGTCCCACACAGTGAGCATGTGCTCATTAGAGTCATCGATCACACTGAGATGAGTGCCTGAGTCCTACACACACACACACACACACACACACACACACACACAGATTTAGAATCAATGACTGTTTACAAACAAATACACTTCCGGTTTCTTCAGTCACCCCGAAAAAGAGCTGTTTATATTTGCATATAGTTTGTTTATAGCTCAATATGACCGAAAAGTGCTGCGTCTTGTGTTGAAACAACCAGGTTGAAAAACTCTTCCTCCTGGGTCATAGATTTCCATAAAAACCAGAAAATCAGGAGAAAAAAACGTATCACAAATGATAATTCATGAATTTTAGTCATCATGATTGCCAGAGGCCTTTGGAATTCAGAGGCCTGTTTAAAGATTTTTGCCAAAGTGCTTGATATTCGTGAAAGCGGCACTCTTGCTCGTGTGATATTGCTTAACTAGCTATATCCTTTATACATATTTAAAAAAAGAATTTACACAGAGAAATTTCTGCCCCCTATCTTGAATTTTGGGGGCATTTTAGTTCATTTTCGAAGAAATTTTTGCTCCAAGGCAAGCCCACGTTCATTTCCAGCCCTGTCGTCTGTGTTCCACGATGGAGGGGGCCATTCATTTAAATGAGCAAATAATAAAACTATGAGATTTGAGGGGTCGGTGTTGTAAGAGATATCAAGAAAGTCAGACTAAAAAGGGTTGCTTTTAATTTAGATTCGAAAGTTTCAGTATTTTCTGCACATCTCATGGAGCAGAGTGGCATCACTAAATAATTAGTTTACTTTGTATAACAACTAAAAGAACGAAAAAATCGGAGGATCTGAAAGTCCTTCAAGGTTCATAAACTGAAAGCATTTTTGTGAGGTAGTCTTGTGTGAGACCAAACACATTTGCTTCGGACTTTCAGTTTAACGGGATTAAAGAGGGAAATGTTATCGTTCAACTGAACTCTGCATTTTAAACACATTATGTTCTTCGTCCATGCAATAAATACACGTCCCTGAATAAGCGCAGTTTTATAGCGTATTTACAGGTATTGGTAACCCTTAAAGACCTAGACCATTTTTGGAGCACCTGCACCGCCTGTTCTTTTCTTTGTTTTTCTAACCCATTATAGCAGTCAGCATCAAGTGCCATATATCATTTTAAACAGGAGAACTTGAAGTTTCAATCTATCTCATTTAAATAATCCAATTTTAGATTTATTTTGTCTTAGAATGGATGAATTTACCAGATTTAAGAAAAACGGCAGCATATTTTTAGTGATTTTTTTTACTCAACTCAAACAAATCCTCCTGAAGTTTTTTTCTTTTTCTTTAGAAAGCTGTACTTGGATATTCTACATTTCCAGATGTAATTTTGACTACATGTAACAATCCCTAAGCAAGTTATAGCCATTTATTACAACATTATTATAGGCGATTTTCAGTGAAAAGCTGATATTTTTTATTTACTGGCAATTTAGATGTGTCCAAAAAAGTTCAGGAAGTAAAATAAATAGAATGATTGCAATAGAACACTAAAGTAAAATAAACTTTATATATATGTATAAACACACACACACACACACATATACATACATGATGAACCACTTTACCTCCGTGCCTCAGTTCAAATTTCCAAAGAAAGATGCTAATTGGTCGTGCAAAAGACCAAAAACTATGTTTATTGGTTGAGTAGATGATAGTTTCAACCAATCTGGGCATGGGGTGGGACTAAGCATCAACAGTCATTCATGATTGGCTCAGAGGAACAAACCGCACGGGTTTCTTTGACGAATCAATGCTGATCAAAACTTGATGACGCAATCACATTCACTACGGAGCTTCTGAATGTCCAAACGCGATTAACCCGATATCACAGAAAAGCCGTGAATCTCCTCTTTATGGGACTTTTTAAAGTATACGGATTGGAGTAACGGTTCAAAAGTTCTTAAACATTTAAGAACAACAGTTATTCTTTGCCGCCGGCGGCCGTATAGGTCAACAGAACCGGAAGACAATACAATGCTGAATAAAGTCGTAGTTTTTGTTATTTTTGGACCAAAATGTATTTTCGATGCTTCAACACACTCTAACTAACCCACTGATGTCACATGGACTACTTTGATGATGTCTTTATTTCCTTTCTGGACAAGGACAGTATACCGTACATACATTTCCAATGGAGGGACAGAAAGCTCTCGGACTAAATCTAAAATATCTTAAACTGTGTTCTGAAGATGAACGGAGGTCTTACGGGCTTGGAGCGACATGAGGGAGAGTCATTAATGACATCATTTTCATTTTTGGGTGAACTAACCCTTTAAGGTTCTTCATGGGGATCCAGGCTTCTTTAGTGGAGTCAGACCCCATCCAAACCCCCCCGTAATTCACACCCCGGACATAATGAGTCCTTCCTTCTGGTCTTTGTCAGTGCACAAACAGCAGAGTTTTGGATTAATTGTAGTCTTTGGTAGACCAGAAAGGAGGGTATTGTTGAGGGAGTTGTTAGACAATGCTCATTAAACACACAGTGAAATGCAATTAAATGAAGACTCACGGCTTTAGAGAAAGCGAGGGATCCAACTCCTCTCTCGAAGGTGCCGAGGCCGATGATCTGCAGCGTGGACAGACTGACCGAGTCCCAGACCCTCACGTGTGGCTGGAGCGGCTGAGGATCACCAAAGATCACAGCAACAATTCAAAAAGGTTATTCTGATAAACAAGTAACATTGTCAGTAAAGAACAAGTAGCACAACGGGAAAACTAAATGCAACATGAACACTCATGCAAAGTGCTTTTACAGCGTTTAGTGGCTCATGTTCTTTAGGGATCCTCTGGAAACTCGCCAGCTAATGTGTTTGTTTTTGCCCTTTCAGGACATACTGTGTGTCTTGAAAGTTTGTTTGTTAAAGCAGAATATAAACTAGCCAGTTATTCTAGATCATTCTCAAATATTGCCTTTAGATATGCAAAATAGGAGAACAGAAGTACAATACTTTAACAGATCCTTGGAACAGGACAGGACAACAGTTAAGCTGTATAAATCATTTGCCACGGTCAGAAGAGAAATCTAAAAAAGTATGAATGCCTGCATACTCGATAGAGACGACTACACAACCGGCAAGAGTTTATGAAGTCTCTTCTGCTCACCAAGGCTGCATTTATTTGATGAAAATGACAGTAAAAATAGTTTAATATACAGTACCTGTCAAAAGTTTGAAAACATTATCATTTTAATGTTTTTGAAAGAAGCCTCTTCTTCTCACCAAGACTGCATTTATATAATTAAAAATACAGTAAAAACAATCATATTGTGATATATATTGTTTTTTATTTTAAAACATTTAAAATTTTCATTTATTTCTGTGATCAAAGCTATATTTCAGCATCATTACTCCAGTCTTCAGTGTCACATGATCCTTCAGAAATCACTCAAATATGATGATTTGCTGCTCAAGAAACATTTAATCAAGTTGTGCCGCTTCATATTTTTTCAGGATTTGTTGATAAATAGAAAGCTCTCTTTATTAGACATAGAAATCTTGCATAACAATGGAAAAATCATTGTCACTTTTGATGAATTTAATGCATCCTTGTTGAATACGAGTATTACTTTATTTCAATTTTTTTTTACTCATAGCAAACTTTTGAACAATAGTGTACATTGAGGCAAACATACAGGAAAGTTAGTGTTTCATCATAATAGTTATGCTGATCAAACTCACCCTTCCATCCTTATCCACTCCTGCGATCTGTCCTGTGGCGATCCGGATCTTATCTGGGTGAACAGCAAGACTATAAGAGAACGAGAGAGAGAGAGACATTCACTCATCATCAACACTGTTGAGGCGAACGCGGCTTTTGTTTTTGATATTGGAAGTTTTAAAGCTCTTCCAACCTTACTCTTGTTTAGAGACCAACCAATATTGGTCTGTCCAGATACTGATATCTACAGATAGGCGTGAATTCCACTATTTACATATTTTACAAAATATTAACACAACAAATGAAACATAAAATGTTTTATTATTTATTAATAAGGCAGTCTGTGGACTCTAGAACGGAGATAACAGGGAGGTCAAGCTTATGGAACAACGTCGACAATCTCAAAACACCCAACTGTATTGGTCCATCACTATTGTGTGGTTACAGGGGTTGTTGAAACGTTACCGATGTACTTCAAAAATGTATATAAGTGTACGTGTAAGCCCCCAACATTTAGTTTTAATGCGTTGTTGTTACACGTTACATGTAGTTACTCAGTCCTTCCAGAAAAATGCGGAGTTTTTTTGTGATTGTTGCGGGCAAAAATCCTTGATTATGCGGCACTTTTTCTTAAAAAATGCGATGGAATATGCAGGATATTTATGCAATTTTATGCGATGAAATTGCGGGAACTTGCAAAAACTGCGGGAACTTGCAAAAACTGCGGAAACTTGCGGGAACTTGCAAAAACTGCGGGAACTTGCACAAATTGCGGGAACTTGCAAAAACTGCAGGAACTTGCAAAAATTGCGGGAACTTGCAAAAACTGCGAGAACTTGCAAAAACTGCGGGAACTTGCGGGAACTTGCAAAAATTGCGGGAACTTGCAAAAACTGCGGGAACTTGCAAAAACTGCGGGAACTTGCAAAAACTGTGGGAACTTGCAAAAACTGCGGGAACTTGCAAAAACTGCGGGAACTTGCAAAAACTGCGGGAACTTGCAAAAACTGCGGGAACTTGCACAAATTGCGGGAACTTGCAAAAACTGCGGGAACTTGCAAAAACTGCGGGCACTTGCAAAAACTGCGGGAACTTGCAAAAATTGCGGGAACTTGCAAAAACTGCGGGAACTTGCAAAAACTGCTCTGTGGGAACTTGCAAAAACTGCTCTGCGGGAACTTGCAAAAGCTGCTCTGCGGGAACTTGCAAAAACTGCTCTGCGGGAACTTGCAAAAACTGCGGGAACTTACAAAAACTGCGGGAACTTGCAAAAACTGCGGGAACTTGCAAAAACTGCTGGAACTTGCAAAAACTGCGGGAACTTTGCAAAAACTGCGGGAACTTGCAAAAACTGCGGGAACTTGCGGGAACTTGAAAAAACTGCGGGAACTTGCAAAAACTGCAGGAACTTGCAAAAACTGCTCTGCGGGAACTTGCAAAAACTGCGGGAACTTACAAAAACTGCGGGAACTTACAAAAACTGCGGGAACTTGCAAAAACTGCTGGAACTTGCAAAAACTGCGGGAACTTGCAAAAACTGCGGGAACTTGCAAAAACTGCGGGAACTTGCAAAAACTGCGGGAACTTGCGGGAACTTGAAAAAACTGCGGGAACTTGAAAAAACTGCAGGAACTTGCAAAAACTGCGGGAACTTGCAAAAACTGCGGGAACTTGCAAAAACTGCGGGAACTTGCAAAAACTGCGGGAACTTGCGGGAACTTGCAAAAACTGCGGGAACTTGCAAAAACTGCGGGAACTTGCAAAAACTGCGGGAACTTGCAAAAACTGCGGGAACTTGCAAAAACTGCGGGAACTTGCAAAAACTGCGGGAACTTGCAAAAACTGCGGGAACTTGCAAAAATTGTGGGAACTTGCAAAAACTGCGGGAACTTGCAAAAACTGCGGGAACTTGCAAAAACTGCGGGAACTTGCAAAAACTGCGGGAACTTGCGGGAACTTGCAAAAACTGCGGGAACTTGCAAAAACTGCGGGAACTTGCAAAAACTGCGGGAATAACTTGCAAAAACTGCGGGAACAACTTGCAAAAACTGCGGGAACTTGCAAAAACTGCGGGAACTTGCAAAAACTGTGGGAACTTGCAAAAATTGCGGGAACTTGCAAAAACTGCGGGAACTTGCAAAAACTGCGGGAACTTGCAAAAACTGCGGGAACTTGCAAAAACTGCGGGAACTTGCAAAAACTGCGGGAACTTGCAAAAATTGTGGGAACTTGCAAAAACTGCGGGAACTTGCAAAAACTGCGAATATTTAAGTTCTCATCTTGTTTTATTTCAGACCTTAATAAACACATCCTCAAACGTACAAAACATTGATGAGTCAAACAAGTTCTGTAGCTTTACAAAAGGAATATGCTACAACTTCTGTAAAAATGAATACAAAAATAAAATGTGTGCTTTCAGTTTTACAGAGTAAGCTATACAAAACAGACATCTTTTGTTAAAATAAGTGCTTCCAATGCACAAAGTGCAATCTCTTACTGTAACGTAAATTTACATCATGTAACACACCAGGAAACTGCTTTGCTCGGTCTTTTGCGGTTATTTTTGTTGGCAAATGAGACTGATTTGCGGGCTTCATCCAGGTTTGCACCTTTTCGATGATGTTCACGTCGCGTAATTACGTCACTTCATAACGTTCCCTTGGCAACGGGGAAACGGCTGCTCTTGTGTGAAGTAAACGCAACATTTTTCAACTTTCTGCTAAGATATATGTGACTTTTTTTGCAACGAAAATGCGGGGATTATGAAATCATGCAAGCCCCGCATATTTTGCGCGGAAATCTGCAATTTATGCGGCGAAAGTGTGGTGTATTTGAAAAAATGCGGCCCTCGCATAAACATGCGGACTTTGGCTGATTATGCACTAAATCATGCGATCGCATAATCGTGTTTTTCTGGAGGGACTGGTTACTGTAGTAATAACAGTAAATTATGCTTAATTACATGCAACTAACTCTAAACCAAACCCTAATCCTATTGTAAGTACATGTAGTTAATTAATATTACTCAGTACTTAAATGTATAATTACACTGTTAAAAAAAACAATTACAACCATGATAAGTGGTAAACACGTTTTGAACTGAATTTGTCCACTCCAATTAATGCCGTTGAATGGGTGCCATTGACACGGGACACAAGTGCGCTGTGAAGCTCGCACAACACGGTCCTCTGTGCTTCAGCAGCACTTTTCAGAGAAATATTCAGTTCAGAGAGTTGTCAATTGAATCATTGTCAGTGTCAATGTCCTGCAAGACCACCAGATAACGGCATGTCCTCAATCACACCATACGTGTTTTCATCAGTCTCACCATTTGACACAGTCGGTGTGTCCTAAGTAGTGGCGCTGTGTCCTCTCCTCGTAGTTGAAGAGCACGACCACCGAGGCGATGAAATACACGATCTCCCCGGTAGGCAGCAAGTACACGTTTGCACGGCAGTCACGACCCCTGTATCCATATCTATCCGTCAGTCAAGGAGAACACGACAACACAACAAACAACAAACTATAAAATCACTTCTGAAGACGCTGTTTGTCATTTCTGTGCAATGCTTTACATATCTGTCTGTGAATTTAATTCATTTGGGGGATTTTCTAAGTACAGTGAATCAACTTAAAATATTTAAGTACATTTTTAATTATTTGGCAACCATAGCAAATATTATACTTTCCTTGCCTTATAATATTGAATCCATTTTAAAACAGAATTTACTAATTATTTTCTTATTTATTATGTATTTTCTAGTGCTGTCAAACGATTAAAATATTTAATCGCGATTAATCGCATTAACGGCATAGTTAACTCGCGATTAATCGCAATTAATCGCACATTTTTATCTATTCTAAATGTCTCTTGATTTCTTTTTGTCCCATTATTTTTTCTCATTTTAATGCTCTTATCAACATGGAAAAGTGGATCGGCTTGCTTTGTGCAAATGTTTTTTATTGAAAACAACATTGGCATATACTGTGTTCAATTTCACACTAACATTCTCACTTGGAGCAAATAATCTCTCACACAATGTAACACTGTCCATCAATAAAAGGGTGAAAGAAATACTGACGAGGTCCTGATATTGACGAGGGGGCGGAGAATTCGCATCAGCTGTGTGTGTGTGTGTGTGCTTGGCCATCAAGTGGTGTTTCAGACTGGACGTGCTGGGATGATGATAGCTCAGTTCACAACGACAAAACACACAGATCACTTTGGTCTTGTCAATGGAAACATTTGGCAACTTTTTAAAAGTAAACTTTCCATTCAGAATCTTATTGGCGTCCATTTCGGCGTCTCGCGCTCGTCATCCACTCAAAACGTAACGTTAACCAACTATTTGGCCGGCTCGCAAGCCCAAACAAGTGTGTGCGTCGTGCCTGTTGTTTTGTTTCCGGTCTAAGCTAGATCCGCTTGCGCTTTGGTCGACGAAGCAACAAAACGTCCTTTGCCGCGTCCTGTTGCAAAAGCATGTGAAAAAAACGACAAAGTTTGCTAGGCCAAAAAGACTGTTAATCGCGCGATAAAAAAATTAACGCCGTTAAAATGGGTTTGCGTTAACGCCGATAATAACGCGTTTAACTGACAGCCCTAGAATTTTCATGTTCTGAACTGGAATTTTATTTCATTATTTTGCCAATGTTAAGCATTTTAAATGGCCATTGTTAATGAAATGTGTTCTATAAATAAACTTGGCTTGATCTGCTTAAAGAGCAAATGCAGAAACACAATGTGCCGAGCGCAGGTTATGCTAGAAAGGATACACCCACTCCAGTTTGAGTCTCTCCGGGGGAAGTTCGGTGCGCACCTCGTCGTAGTTCTCCACGTCCGATGGGATGAACATTGTGATGGGTCGTCCTCGCATGAACATTTTGATGTAGTCTCCCTCTGTGAAGAGATTCGATGAAGAAAAGATATTCTAAGACAAAACACTAGAAAAAATGAATGATTATTAACCAAATTAGCAGCTATTACATGAAACGCATCTCAAACAACACTCGTGTTTGTTTGTGTGAAGTACATGCATCTGGAGATTAGACTTTGAAAAAGTTGAAATTTGCCAGTGCACATGGTCTGTAAGGGTTTGCTTTTTAGTCATTTTAATATAACATACACAACAACATATAGGTTACCTTCTAACATTGCTCCTCGTAACTTAACAGGTTAACAGTTTTTACAAATTCGTTTCTAAGTGAAGCTCTTTGATGGAGTTAGTAAAGCTCATGCGCTGAACTCCCAAGCAAATCAAAACTGAAGCCTCAAGCGCCGTGCAGAAGGGCCAGAGCAACGATAATGCCCAAATTATACAGTGATTCAATAAAGTAAAGAAAGTTTCAAGCAGAAATATCAAAGTGGTGAAAAAATGGACAAAGAATCATGTTTTCTCTAGTCTCCAGAATCATTTTGTGCTGTTGCACATCATCATGTAATTATATAAAGTATTTAACACAGAACAAGACATCTGACCAGAGATAACCTTTAAAAAAATGAATCACCAGTATATTCTTTACCATCATAAACTGTCATAAAATTGACTGTCATAAATGACTTGATATCGTTAAAGGGATAGTTCGGCCACAAATGATATTTCAGTGATCATTTACTCACACTCATGTTGTTCCAAGTCTTATGTGGAACGTAACGGATAGAAAATGTCTTTGTGGTTTTTTTTGTTTTTTTTGTTTGTTACTAACATTCTTCAAAATATATCTTTTTTTAATGTTCCACAGAAGAAAGTCATCAGGTTTGGGACGACATGAGGGCCGTTAAATGATGACAAAAATGTATTGAACTAAATATAAATTAGTACGACAAATACTAAAACTGTACGATATACATAAAATATTTTCTCAGAAACTGTACAGTAATGAGAAGGAGATTTGTTTAGCATTATGGTAAAAATGTGCGCAGTTGTCATACAAATGTTACAATAATAAATGACATTTTTTCATTTCTTTGATTTTGGGGTGAAATATGGGCTAGATGTGTTCTTGAGTGGTTTAGTGAGATTCAGCCGTAAAGCTGTTCTGGCATCATTACTTCAGAAAACACATTCCTCTTGTAATGAGTTACTGGTGGTGAATCTCTAAGGTCACCTATTAAGACCAGCTGAACTGTGAGAAGACATGAACAAGCGAGATGTGTGTTCGTCGTTTATCCTGGGAGGAAATCCACTTACTATCCATTCCTCCAGAAATGTTATTTAAGATTTTGAGGAACAAAAGCGGCAGAGAGACAGAAGAAAAGTGGAAGAAGTGACTGAGCATTGATCTTTCAGATCGATCAACATGTTAAGATTAAATTAAAGTGGGATTAGTGGCAGAAACGCTTATAGTCCAGCCTGAAGCGGGTACGGGAGCTTTCGGCCCTGGAGAGAGGAAGGCCTTACCTTGACTGTTTTTTTCACGGGTTGACATTTTAGCTGGGTATGGGACAGAAATAATAATCTCTCAAAAAACAAACACAGAAAGAATGACAGACAAGGAACATGTCAAAGGTCTTTAAGATGGGTGTGATCATTAGAAAGATCTAGAACAACAAATGAGAAACCACAAGTCAAAGGAATGCAGTTTGTGCATGTGTTTGCCAAGATTAAACTGTCTTGAGAGATGGAGGTGGTGCTCACACCTGTACTGTTCTCGGCCCAGGGCTAAATCCAGCCTCGGGACAAGGTCGTCCCAGGGCACACTCGCCCACTGACATGAGCCTCGTGTTAAAGGGATACTCCACTTTTTTTGGAAATAGGCTCATTTTACAACTCCCCCAGAGTTAAACTGTTGAGTTTTACCGTTTTTGAATCCATTCAGCCGATCTCCGGTTCTGGCGGTACCACTTTTAGCATAGCTTAGCATACATCATGGTACGGCAGTAAAGTTTATTGATTATTACGCAGGAATGAGAGTATAGTTCCTAGCCATATCAGCCTAGAAAATCGCAACTTTACATTTTCCGTCGGTCTTAGTGCACGATGTAACTACAGAAGAGTCAAGTTTTAAATAGGAAAAACATCGAAACTCTTTGGTCATTTTTTTTTTTAGAAATGCTAATGGTCTTGTCCACTTCAATGATGTATGCTAAGCTATGCTAAAAGTGGTACCGCCAGAACCGGAGATCGGCTGAATGGATTCAAAAACGGTAAAACTCAAGTTGTAAAATGAGCCTATTTCCAAAAAAAGTGGAGTATCCCTTTAAGAGTATTTTTCAGTGTCACTGCTGATCTTGCCCTGGGGCAACGCCAAATACTAAGAGCCATCAGGGGCATAATGCTAGCTTTCATTCACACTTATGAAACGGTTTTTACTGTGCAAATGACATGTATGTAAGAGTTTGATTTGTTTTAATGTGCACAAAAGGTCTAAAATCTTGCACAAGGCATCAGTTTTGCCTGCACCACTGTGATTACAGGAAATGAGAGGAACATATGAGGAAAAAATGAAGCTGAAACATAATAGATCACGTAAAAGGCAAAATGAGACTTTACCTTGGCTGATGACTGGATCTCGGTGTCTAAAGAGGAAATGGGAATAAAATCAAAATATTGTTAACACAAGACAAAAAATGGCATGTTTGTTCACCTGTAGGAATGTGTTAAAGGCATGCGTTACATCCTAAATAAAATTTGCTCACTCTCATGATGTTCCCAACTGATATGACTTTCTCCCATAGAACAGAAAAAGAGGATTTAAGCAGAATATCCAACATGCTCCTTTCCATACAATTACAGCGATTGGAAATGAATGTCGTCAAGGTCCACAATAAAGGCCCATCGAGAAAGTATGAGCTTTCTGTACATAATAAAACAATTTTGTGACAAAAAAAAACAAACATGGTAATAATTTGCAATTTTGATCCTATTGTTTACTATATTTTATCGTTTTTTTGGTCAGTGTCGTTGTGGGTTTTGGTTCTTTTACTGTTGTCGGCTGTAAGCACCTGAAACAATGGTTATCATTTGGCGGAGTGATATGGACATGTAATGCGGTCAAGACCTGCCTGGAACTACTTTAGCCGTGTTTCTCTGAAAATAATTGCACACCTTAGAACGTTGTCAACCAATCAGATTCAAGCATTCAACTGGCCCGTAGGATAATGTTAATTAATTAATTAATTAATTAAATAATATTAAAATGAGCAATAAATTTGTTACAGTATTTATTAATCTTTGTTATAATAAGTTAATACAAATACAACTGTTCATGTTTGTTCATGTTAACATTCAACTTGAAATGAATTATTAGTAAAGATTATTAATAAGTATTAAGTATTAATACACATTTTTCATTGTTGATTACCTTATTGTAAAGTGTTATCAAAATTACATAAAAGCACTATAAATGCACCATATCATATGTTATATGTTATAGAGGAGAAGAAGATTATCTGTGAATAGCCCAACAAATTTCGGCCATCACTGTTGGAAGACTTGCAAAACAGCACACGTGATATAGTTTTATGCTAGTGTTTGGAACGTGACGGTGTCCATCCCTTTTCAATTTTGCTGGTTGAAAAAGAGCACATCAGAGATTCTGCATAACTTTTGATGAAAAAAGAACAAAATGAAGAATTTCTCTTCAGAATTTTCAAGTAAGAAGCAAGTGCCATGTGTTAATTCGATGATTTGCAATAACACATGACTAGGCCCAGAAGGAATCTGTGGACTTTTTGCTTGTTATGTGCTGAAATTGGATGAATGAAAGGAATGAGTGGAATGAATTCAAACTAAGATAAAATCAATTGAACAACAAGTACTAAACTAAACTTTGGCAGCTGAAAGCAAATTACCCAAAATAAATAAAACATTGGATGCGTTAAGTATCGGTGTAACTTCCTGAACTATGTGCATACCAATTCACTGGAAATCTCTGGAGCTTCTTGGATTTTTTTTCTTTTCTTGGGACAGTTAACAAGAAAAATGACTTAAAAAGCCTGACGCAGAATTAAAACAAATATAATAGTATCTACAATTAATAAATAAATAAATAAATAAATAGAAACACTGGTGGAAAAACCTTCCATCAATCAGACTTTTTAATTTGTACCTCAGTTGGATGGCTTATCATTCCTTCCAGAAAAACACAGAGTTTTTTTGTGATTGTTGCGGGCAAAAATCCTTGATTATGCGGCCCGTTTTCTTAAAAAATGCGATGGAATATGCGGAATATTTATGCAGTTTTATACGATGAAATTGCGCGAAAAAGTGATTCCCCCAACACCCTGTTCTCACTAGGCTCCTACCTTAATGTAAAGAGTCATTTCTTATTACTTCCTATGATAAGCAAGCATATACATCACAGAAAGTGCTGGGAATATTTAAGTTCTCATCTTGTTTTATTTCAGACCTTAATAAACACATCAAACGTACAACACATTGATGAGTCAAACAAGTTCTGTAGCTTTACAAAAGGAATATGCTACAACTTCTGTAAAAATGAATAAAGAAAATATAAAAAAATAATGTGTGCTCCTGTTTTACAGCTTTTCGATGATGTTCACGTCACGTAATTACGTCACTTCGTAATGTTCCCATGGCAACAGGGGGAAACGGCTGCTCTCGTGTGAAGCAAACGCAACATTTTTCAACTTTCTGCTCAGATATATGTGACTATTTTGCAACTAAAATGCGAGGCATATTTTGCACGGAAATCTGCAACTTATGCAGCGAAAGTGCGTTTTTTTTTTTTTTTTTTTAATGCGGCCCCGCATAAATATGCGAACTTTGGCTGATTATGCACTAAATCATGCGATCGCATAATCGCGTTTTTCTGGAGGGACTGGCTTATTAAGGGGACAAAAGGAAGCGAACACTTACTTCTCCGCGTTCTTCACCACTTTGGACAGCAGCTTGGATGTGGAGGCTGCTTTCACCAGCTTATTCCTGTTCTCCTCTCCACTGTCCCATGTGCTACTCTGAGAACGCTCCATTCCTCCACCGCGCTTTGCACTGCTACCCCTGCCGGAGATGGAAATTACACAAGAAAAACGCATTTCATTGGAAAAGGAAGCGATAGCATAGAAGCTGAAAAACAAGTCCAGGGGAGAAGTTCAATATTTAGGCGAGAGGTATTGTGAGCTTGGAGGTAATGAAGCTATTAAATCGAAATAGATCTACACCAAAAATGGGTCACAGGCTTGTTCTGACAATTTTACTGCAAAGTCTAGATGCCATCTCAATCCAGATCCTCCAAACTCAAATACCCACTCCTCTAATTTGGTTAATTTCAAACTGGAAGCCAGAAGTCAAGCAACGCCCCTTGAAAGTCAAAGAAGCGTCCCTCAGGTAAAAGATCATGCATATGCCAAAGCATAATCCACTCGACGGTTAGTACACACTGGGGATCTGAAACCTTGAAACCCAGTCCTGTGGTGAGTTGCATGATATTGTTTGAGGGAAAAGGCGCCACACAGCCAAGCTAAAGGAAGGTAGAGAAGGAAACACACATCAGAGATTTAGAAAGGGAAAGTAGAGGAGCGTTATCCTCAGGCGAAGCTGTATGCAAGAAGAAAACGTTAGCACACTTGTTTTCTGGACCATCCCTTCTATGGGACTGAACAGGAGGCTCGTGTGGGGGATTGTGGGATTGACAGAAAAGCAAGTAGAGCGTCAAAAATGTTGGGAGATTCTGAACTTTATGCAAACTGAAGGCCAACATTTATTCATTAATGATGGATTATCATGGAGCCTGAACCAGCAACCTTCTGGTTACCAGCCCTAAGCTTTAGCCGCTACGCCGCATCTCCCTCACCTTAAACTCTTAAAAATAAAGCTTCTGAAGGGGCGTTTCTGCAGTGAAGCCATAGATGAACCATTTGAGGTTCTCCAAAGATTTCTTCAGTGAACAGCTCTTAAAAAAACATTTTAGTGGGAAAAACATTTTAAAGGGTTAGTTCACCCAAAAATGAAAATTGTGTCATTAATGACTCGCCCTCATGTCGTTCCAAGCCCTTCTTCGGAACACAGTTTAAGATATTTTAGATTTAGTCCGAGAGCTTTCTGTCCCTCCATTGGAAATGTATGTACGGTATACTGTCCTTGTCCAGAAAGGAGATAAAGACATCATCAAAGTAGTCCATGTGACATCAGTGGGTTAGTTAGAGTGTGTTGAAGCATCGAAAATACATTTTGCTCCAAAAATAACAAAAACTACGACTTTATTCAGCATTGTATTGTCTTCTGGTTCTGTTGTGGATCCGCGTTCAGTGCCGCCGCTGACGTAAGACCCTGCTGACGTGTGTCTGGTGTGTGTGTGTGTGTGTGTATTCTGGTTCTGTTGTGGATCCGCGTTCAGTGCCGCCGCTGACGTAAGACGCTGCTGACGTGTGTCTGGTGTGTGTGTGTGTGTGTGTGTGTGTGTGTGTGTATTCTGGTTCTGTTGTGGATCCGCGTTCAGTGCCGCTGCTGACGTAAGACGCTGCTGACGTGTGTCTGGTGTGTGTGTGTGTGTGTGTGTGTGTATTCTGGTTCTGTTGTGGATCCGCGTTCAGTGCCGCCGCTGACGTAAGACGCTGCTGACGTGTGTCTGGTGTGTGTGTGTGTGTGTGTGTGTGTGTGTGTGTGTGTATTCCGGTTCTGTTGTGGATCCGCGTTCAGTGCCGCTGCTGACGTAAGACCCTGCTGACGTGTGTCTGGTGTGTGTGTGTGTGTGTGTATTCTGGTTCTGTTGTGGATCCGCGTTCAGTGCCGCCGCTGATGTAAGACGCTGCTGACGTGTGTCTGGTGTGTGTGTGTGTGTGTGTGTGTGTATTCTGGTTCTGTTGTGGATCCGCGTTCAGTGTCGCTGCTGACGTAAGACGCTGCTGACGTGTGTCTGGTGTGTGTGTGTGTGTGTGTGTGTGTGTGTATTCTGGTTCTGTTGTGGATCCGCGTTCAGTGACGCCGCTGACGTAAGACGCTGCTGACGTGTGTCTGGTGTGTGTGTGTGTGTGTGTGTGTGTATTCTGGTTCTGTTGTGGATCCGCGTTCAGTGCCGCCGCTGACGTAAGACGCTGCTGACGTGTCTGGTGTGTGTGTGTGTGCAGGGCCGTTTGAAGGAATTTGGGGGCCCCAAGCAAAATGGACATGGAGGCCCCCCAAGCCCCCCACCAGACACACGTCAGCAGCGTCTTACGTCAGCAGCGGCACTGAACTCGGATCCACAACAGAACCAGAATACACACACACACACACACACACACCAGACACACTGTCTGCAGCGTCTTACGTCAGCAGCGGCACTGAACGCGGATCCACAACAGAACCAGAATACACACACACACACCAGACACACGTCAGCAGCGTCTTACGTCAGCAGCGGCACTGAACTCGGATCCACAACAGAACCAGAATACACACACACACACACACACACCAGACACACTGTCTGCAGCGTCTTACGTCAGCAGCGGCACTGAACTCGGATCCACAACAGAACCAGAATACACACACACACACACACACACACACACACACACCAGACACACGTCAGCAGCGTCTTACGTCAGCAGCGGCACTGAACGCGGATCCACAACAGAACCAGAATACACACACACACACACACACACACACACACCAGACACACGTCAGCAGCGTCTTACGTCAGCAGCGGCACTGAACGCGGATCCACAACAGAACCAGAATACACACACACACACACACACACACACACCAGACACACGTCAGCAGCGTCTTACGTCAGCAGCGGCACTGAACGCGGATCCACAACAGAACCAGAATACACACACACACACACACACACACACACACACACACACACACCAGACACACGTCAGCAGCGTCTTACGTCAGCGGCGGCACTGAACGCGGATCCACAACAGAACCAGAATACACACACACACACACACACACACACACACACCAGACACACGTCAGCAGCGTCTTATGTCAGCGGCGGCACTGAACGCGGATCCACAACAGAACCAGAATACACACACACACACACACACACCAGACACACGTCAGCAGCGTCTTATGTCAGCGGCGGCACTGAACTCGGATCCACAACAGAACCAGAATACACACACACACACACACACACCAGACACACGTCAGCAGCGTCTTATGTCAGCGGCGGCACTGAACGCGGATCCACAACAGAACCAGAAGACAATACAATGCTGAATAAAGTCCTAGTTTTTGTTATTTTTGGACCAAAATGTATTTTCGATGCTTCAACACACTCTAACTAACCCACTGATGTCACATGGACTACTTTGATGATGTCTTTATTTCCTTTCTGGACAAGGACAGTATACCGTACATACATTTTCAATGGAGGGACAGAAAGCTCTCGGACTAAATCTAAAATATCTTAAACTGTGTTCTGAAGATGAACGGAGGTCTGACGGGCTTGGAGCGACATGAGGGAGAGTCATTAATGACATCATTTTCATTTTTGGGTGAACTAACCCTTTAATAATCTAAAGAACCTTTTGTGGAATGGAAAGGTTCCACGGATGTTAAAAGATTCTTCATGGAACCATCGATGCCAATAAAGAACTTTTAAGAGTGTAGAGGAGAATATGTAGCTCAGGGGAGAAGGTTTGGTAGAAGTGATCCAGAAACTCAGAAGTACACACAAACATTAAAGCCCAAAGTATACTTTGTTTTTTGAGCGCACACTAGGGTGTGTTTGTGCGTATTGGGAAATCCATCATTAGCATAGTAGTTTTTCTACCTGCACGTAATCTGTACGGAAGGCGCCTCGACCTTTTTTTGCACTAGTTAAAAAAGAAACGGAGGAGAACAACAACAACACACTCCTCACGAGCGCAACAATAGACAGCCACGCTGATGAGCGCTTGTGTGAGGGAGTTAAGAAATACATTCATCTCTAGTTTACGCGAGAACAAAGACATTTTAGCGGTTGTAACTTATGGAGAGAAATAGCGCAGACACTGGACAAAAATGTAACTTTCTATGTTTGCGCAAGCTATCAAATGGAATATACTTTGAAAGGCTATGTACGCATACGCTGAAAGTTTGTGTGAAAACTCAAGAATACTTTGGGCTTGAGGCAATTCAATCGGTCAGAGCTTTAGCATAGTACCTCCAACCTCACCGAACATGGGAGTTAGAGAGGAGGGAAAGGAACGGACAGTACTCCGGGGCAGAGCGGACACACTTCCACGTGAAAAACTGGCTTTTGCTCTACATATGGGGCCACTTGTGAGGTTTTATGATGTCAATCCCTAATATATGTGTGAGAAAAGTTGTTTGAGTGCACCACAATGCCATCAGCCAATAAAATTACCATGTTTTACCACGTAATACCATGGTACTAACTCGACAAGACTTGGTCTACATCAAGATTTGGTCTACTAGCTCCACCAATTGAATTTTGCTGATTAACTGCATTACTTTACGTCTCCCCAAGTAAAATAGCATCAAATTAGTGCTAATAGAAACCAGTTTAGCATGAATATTTATGCTAGTTTTTTTCTTATAAGCAGAAAGACCATGCAAATCATCTTAGTTAGCAGGCCACCTGCATTCACTGCACTTTTTCTATTTCTAAGCCTAAATAAAGAAAATAAACGCATATCTTGTATTACTGATACAGATATATCTACATTTCTAAGAAGAAAAAAAAAGCAATCTCTGCCACATTTTTAAAATGCATTGCGCTAACCACAAGACTCTCTGATGCTAGACTTTGCTAGTGTGTGTGAAATCTTCATGGTTTGCAGAGGATTTTTCTAAGTAATGTGACTGTGGCCAGACTCTGGCAGATAATTTTCTCGTTGCGTCGTCTAGGAAGCATGGATTGGGCCATGAAATGACATTAAGGAGACGGCTAATTGGTTTTCCGCTTCTCTTTTGGTAATTGGATGGGACAGCTTGCAGAGTCAATATGACTAACTCAGCAGGGTTGTTGCGTTATTAAGTACAGACTAGAATGGTGTTGAAGCATTGCTGAGCTAATGTGTTAGCCTGATTACTGCATGGATTACTAAGCAGGAACTAAGGGTCTGAGCACTGAAGGGACGTCACATCTGCTTTCCATTACTTTCCTCTTCTGGGTGGATCGCTCGAGTGACCACATTCTGACCTACACTGCCGGCCTGATACTAGCAGGACATTGAGCTTAGAATGAAGGACACGTACTGGTAAACGAGGGGAAAACAAGATGGAATACAAGATTTTGTTTAGATTAGGGCTGTCAAATGATTAATCGTGATTAATCACATCCAAAATAAAAGTTTTTTTTACATAATATATGTGGGTGCACTGTGTATAATTATTTTATATATATAAATACACACACATGCTTGTATATATTTAAGAAATATTTTCATGTATATACTGTATATAGATTTATATATAATTTATATTATATATAAATATAAATATTTTATATATAAATAATATTTTTTTCTTAAATATACATGCATGTGTGTGTATTTATATATATACAAAATAATTATACACAGTGCACCCACATATATTATGTAAAAAAAACTTTTATTTTGGATGTGATTAATCGTGATTAATCATTTGACAGCCCTAGTTTAGATATAATCAATTTCAATTTTAATCAGAATACTGATTAAAGTTCAAGTCTGAGTATTTTTATGTACGGCTCATTCAGTCGAATAGCAATGTGTACCATGTTCTGGAAATAAAAATCATTCTTTTTTTTTATAAAAATATTTTTTTTTTTCTGAGAACGTACAAACCTTTCTACATTGAGCTCTGAGATCAGTGTGATTTAAAAAAATCATAGATGTTTTGCAAATAACGGAAGTGAATTGGTCTCACTGCAGTGCCAAATAACTTATACATACATAGACTAGCATTCAAAAGTTTGGGGTCAATAACATTTAAAAAAAAAACAAATTAATACTTTCATTCAGCAAGGATGCATTACATTTATTTATTTAATTTTTATTAAAAGAACAGAGCTTATTTTAAATGCGTGTGTGTATATATATATATATACACACGCATTTAAAATAAGCTCTGTTCTTTTAATAAAAATTAAATTATATATATATATATATATATATATATATATATATATATATATATATAAACAGTAATTTAAAATTGTAAAAATATTTCACAATATTACTTTTTACTGTATTTTTCATGAAATAAATGAGAAGAGACTTCTTTCAAAAACATTCCAAAATCTTATTGACTCCAAACTTTCAAATGATAGTGTACACATTTATATATTTTTATACTTATAATACTTAGTGAGAAGAAATGAATCGTGTTATTAATCATATTTTAATTGTAACATTTGCATGCTTTACGGGACGAGTAGTTCGTTGTTTCTTCTTCAAATCAAATATCTTGGAGATGATTGGTTTGGCCCAAGGCTTAGAACTTATAGTTAATACGTTTTCGAAATCCCTATGGAGAAAATGAATGGGGAAAATATTTCCGGACCATAGGCAGATAAAAAAAGGAGTCAGCGTTGCTCTCTACTGATCTTGATATTGATTGAGGAAGCATGTCAGCCCTGCCCCTTGGCTTTACGTCAATAGGTTGCGAAACCACTGCAAGCAGATTGCCAAACGCCATTCGAACACTGCCAGAAATCGCACGGCTGTTGGGAGGAACCTTTTGGCCGGGGTCGAGCCCTTGTTCTCCGAGACTTGTCTCTGGGGCTGTGGGGGATGAGGGGAGGGGGGGTTGCTGGAAGGGGTGCTGGGCGCTGAGGGGGGTTTATCATTAGTCTCCTCTTTCTCCTTGATCCCCTCCATCAGAGGCTTGTCTTTTTTCCGCTCTCCACCACTGTGAAAATAACATGCAGGTAAACAAAGGAAGTTCTGATACACATGAAAAGACGAGGAGAGCCGAGCGGCTCAACGCTGAGGTCAAACACTCACAGACATTCAGATGAATATATTTCTGCGGGCTGAAAGAGTATCACACATTAAACAGAGCGACAAACATTTGAATAGTGCAAGTTGAGTCGACAATATTGACTCGTCATCATTTTCCCACAAGAGAAGACTGTATAGGCCTAGTTTTAATGTGTTTATCTATTAAAAAATAATTGTGTTTACTTTCAAGGCTATGTCTACATTCATCCGGATTAGTTTGAAAATGGCATTTTCGTTTCAAGCATTTTCAAGCAAAAATGTCTCGTCCACACTGAAACGTCGGAAAACACTAAAATCACCATAACGTGCATGCGTAAAACACAATAAATGCTCACTGAGATTATACGTAAAGTTCTCACACTATTCTTCTGGCACGATCATTTTATCAGCAAAATATCTCACCGCTTACTGCTGCGTTCAGGTCAAGCTCCATCATCATTTTAACGCAGAACAGCAATTGAGAGTATATTTTCTGTCATCTTTGCAGGAATGTAATATAAAGATTGTACAAAGGAACATTTATCTTTAGCAACACTGTGAAAGTCAATAACACATAGCAGGCACATATACAAATCATAGAACATTTAAACAAACTATCCAGGGCTTGATCTGGGTTTTCCAAAGTTACTAGTCACATTTTAGCTGGCAACAATTTTGGCATCTATACCATGGGGGAAAAACTGCCATATAGATATTTTTAATATTATCTCATAATTTGGCAGCAGGTACTGTATATTAGGCTGCTGTCACTTTAAGACGTGACGCAGGGATCTATTATACTGTTACACAAGCGTTTTCTTTCCCAACTGTTTACATTCACTTAAAACATAACTGACTGTTTATGTGAATACTCGCCAAGACTGGCATTTTGACATTATTTTGTGTGTATTTGACTGATTAAGTGCAATAAGCAGTGAAAAAGAACTAAATTTTGCACTGAGAGGCGGCTTTATGCGCGCACAAAATCTGCAGGAATGAGTAAAATTATGTGCAATCCCACGGCAAAATTCAAGCCCTGTTACACCAACCATACTTGTGTGAGAAAGCACAGCTGGTATCGTGTATCTATTCTGCGGAAAATGAGTATTGTAAGCGTTTTAGATACTTTAGTATCGATTGAAAAATCCATATTTTTGACAACACTAAATTGCACTTAGATGCCTTTATAAAAGACTACAATTAAAAAATGTATATATTACATATATAATTCAACCCACCAAAGTGGCTGGTAGGAGTGACTGCGTTACACACCACTGCTGAAATACACCCGCGTTTGGTGGGTTTGCGGGTGTTAATGTCAAGCCCTGTATCTATCAGTACAATATGCGTTTTCACAGTCCGCACTACAACGCAAAAACGCCGTCTCAGTGTGGACACACGGTCAAAACGTAGAGAAAAAGATGCGTTTTCAAATGCACACAGATTAGTGCAGACGTAGCTCTAGTACAGTGTTTCCCAAACCCGTCCTGGAGCTTCGCCACTTCTACTCATTTTGATTATCTCTCTAATCTACTAACCACACACACCTGGCTCAAATCATCAGCTCATCCGTGGAGTCACGAGCTGAAGCGGGTCCGAGAAGCGAGACATCCAGAACGTGTAGAGGATCATTTTCATGTTTCAGTTATGTGTGTGTGTGTGTGTGTGTGTGTGTGTGTGCGTTACCTCTTGGCGGCGGAGGCGAGTGTCTCTTTCTTGGCTATAGAGACTGTGGAGGTATCTCTGTGAGATTTGCGGCCGCTGGAACTGCCGTTGGCGATGCAGGACATTGAATAAGCCTCACGCAGCGCGGTCTGACCTGCAGGACACACAACACACACTCTTAGCCCCTCTTATACCTCAAAACAATGACTGAGATCTAGGGAACATGTTGGGCCAATTACTTTACTGTTAACCTTCCCACACGTTTTGCCTTTAATATCCATGAATTGTCCAGTTGGATCAGCTTTTTTTTGGGGGGGAGGGGGGGGGGGGGGGGGGAGAGATATTAATGTAGCACTTTAATAAGCACAATAAGCTTTCCATTGTTAACATTAGTTAATGCACTGTTAACTTACACAAACAAACACCTTAATGTAAAGACCTTAATGCAATGTGATTTTTTTGAAAGCTGAACATAACTTGAAAGATTGACATTCACTATAGAAATTTCCAGACACTTCTGATTAAAGATTCTATTGATTTCTATGACGTTTGCATGCTTGAACTAATGAAATTAAACCTGATCAATGGTCAGGGAAGACAGAGACAGGATAGACAGTAAAGAGAGGCAGCATCCAGACAACGTAACTGGATTAGTGCTCTGATTTACTGATGATTCAAGAAAACAACATGATTTCTCAAGTTTGTAATCTTAATGCAATGACATTCATATAATAAGTGTGGCTCAAGCTTTTGTGTGTGTGCTGTGTATATATATATATACACACTCACCTAAAGGATTATTAGGAACACCTGTTCCATTTCTCATTAATGCAAGTATCTAATCAACCAATCACATGGCAGTTGCTTCAATGCATTTAGGGGTGTGGTCCTGGTCAAGACAATCTCCTGAACTCCAAACTGAATGTCAGAATGGGAAAGAAAGGTGATTTAAGCAATTTTGAGCGTGGCATGGTTGTTGGTGCCAGAGGGGCCGGTCTGAGTATTTCACAATCTGCTCAGTTACTGGGATTTTCACGCACAACCATTTCTAGGGTTTACAAAGAATGGTGTGAAAAGGGAAACACATCCAGTATGCGGCAGTCCTGTGGGCGAAAATGCCTTGTTGATGCTAGAGGTCAGAGGAGAATGGGCCGACTGATTCAAGCTGATAGAAGAGCAACTTTGACTGAAATAACCACTCGTTACAACCGAGGTATGCAGCAAAGCATTTGTGAAGCCACAACACGCACAACCTTGAGGCGGATGGGCTACAGCAGCAGAAGACCCCACCGGGTACCACTCATCTCCACTACAAATAGGAAAAAGAGGCTTCAATTTGCAAGAGCTCACCAAAATTGGACAGTTGAAGACTGGAAAAATGTTGCCTGGTCTGATGAGTCTCGATTTCTGTTGAGACATTCAGATGGTAGAGTCAGAATTTGGCGTAAACAGAATGAGAACATGGATCCATCATGCCTTGTTACCACTATGCAGGCTGGTGGTGGTGGTGTAATGTGTGGGGGATGTTTTCTTGGCACACTTTAGGCCCCTTAGTGTCAATTGGGCATCGTTTAAATGCCACGGCCTACCTGAGCATTGTTTCTGACCATGTCCATCCCTTTATGGCCACCATGTACCCATCCTCTGATGGCTACTTCCAGCAGGATAATGCACCATGTCACAAAGCTCGAATCATTTCAAATTGGTTCCTTGAACATGACAATGAGTTCACTGTACTAAAATGGCCCCCACAGTCACCAGATCTCAACCCAATAGAGCATCTTTGGGATGTGGTGGAACGGGAGCTTCGAGCCCTGGATGTGCATCCCACAAATCTCCATCAACTGCAAGATGCTATCCTATCAATATGGGCCAACATTTCTAAAGAATGCTTTCAGCACCTTGTTGAATCAATGCCACGTAGAATTAAGGCAGTTCTGAAGGCGAAAGGGGGTCAAACACAGTATTAGTATGGTGTTCCTAATAATCCTTTAGGTGAGTGTATATATATATAATTATATATATATACACACGTTTCAAAATCATACAGTCATTGCTGGAAAAGGTTCAAATATGCAAAAGATGCTGGAAAACTGAAGAATTTGCAGGACCTGAAGGGTTTTTCTGAAGAACAGTTCAGTTTAACTGCTCAGGACAAATAAGGGACTCAAGAACAGCCATCACAAAACATGACAACAGCTGTGGATCATCCAGGGAACGACACACAGTATTAACAATCAAGCGTATGTAAACATTGGAACGGGTCATTTTTATAAATGTAGCTAATTTTTTTGTCTTGCGGACTATATCTATATGTATTAAGCATATTTAATGTAAAATATCTTGTTCAAGACAGTACTAAATACAAAATAACATGCAGTTTGTATGATCCTTCTTATTTTGTTAAAATAATTCACATTTTGTGGTTCATTTGAACTTTCTATTCATCAAAGAATACTAAAAGAAAAAAAGTATGACAAAAAGCAGCGCAATTGTTTTTAACATTGATAATATTCATAAATGTTTCTTGATCATCAAATCATCATATTAGAATGATTTCTAAAGGATCATGTGACACTGAAGACTGGAGTAATGCTGAAAAATCAGTTTTGAACATAGGAATAAATTGCATTTTAAAATAAATTACAATAGAAAAAATCTATTTTAAATTGTAATAAAATTTCACAGCTTTAAGCTGTATTTAATTAAATAAACGCAGCCTTGGTGAGCATAAACGACAAAAAATAAAACATACCAACCCTAAACTTTTCTTAACACACAGTGGGGTCCAAAAAACCAGACCACAATGAAAACCTGAGATTTGTTTTGCATTTGAACCTGATTTTGAATACATTATTCTACTGTACACTCCTGGGCAAAACAAGGCCAAGACGAAAATGGCAAAATAATGGTCTTTTAATGGTCTTAACCATTTTAATCACAAGTCACTGGTCAGGAAATTAGCAAGAATTGCGCAAATGCTGTGAAAAAGGTAACGTGGCACGGAAAAGCCTTCCCAACTTGCAGACCGGAAGAAGAGTCAGTGTTGTTCCACTCAAACAGTTCATGAGGACATCGTCCAGTTCTTTGAGTTTAACGTGAGACCAAATATTCACTATAGGGTTCAAATCTGGACTCTGACCAGGCCTAAACATGACTTCTTTTGTCTTTGCAATATGGGCAGGAGCATTGTCTTGCTGAAAAATAACATCTGATCATTCCTCTTTCATTTGTGGGAAGCAAGACATTCTGCAGTATTCTCCTGCACTCCGAAGTATTTATTTATTTATAGGCATTTGTTTAAGTGTTTTAGCACAAATGCTAATTTTCAACACCAAGTAGGGCTGGGAAAAAATCGATTTGATTTAAAAACCGAGTTGGTAGGTCAAATCGATTCATATTTTCAAAAAAAATAGATTTTTTTTATTTTTTCTCTCCCCCTCTTCAGTATAGCGTACATACATTTTGCATTCGCCAAATCTTCCTTCAGGGTTCCCGGTGTTACTGTTTACATGTTCAATTCAACTAAGAGTTACCTCAGGATTTTTGGTTGTTTTATTAGCTCAATCCAAATACAGTATAAATAATTTGGATGTTGAACAAATCTTTGTTGCACACTGCACAGTGACTTTTCAGTTAGAGAAAGGGTTTGCCTTTGCAATTTTGTTTATGTTGATGCACTTTAATGAAATACAATAAATATATATTTTTAAAATATATTTACAGTTTGCAGTTATTTTGTTTTAAATGGAAGGGGGGGGAAATCGAATCGAATTGTAAATCGAGCTTACATATATATATATATATATAGCAGATTTTTTTAGGGAACACGTTTCACAGTAAAGTAGCTCACCGAACAGCAGCTCTTCCTCCAGGCTTCACTGTGGTAGACATGCATTTATTATTATATTTCTCAGCAGAACTTTGAAGACACGTGTTTCAGTGTGATTCATCACTTCACACACTAGCCAAAAACTTCATTCTGTCTTTGAGGTTTTTCTGAGACAGCAATGGCTTTTGCTTAAATTTGGCCAATTTCCTGACCAAAAACATTGTGGTTAAGACAATCAAAAGCTTTGTATTTAGTATACAATGTTATGCAAAAAATAAATGGAATTAGAAAAGAATCTCAGATGTCTGGATAGTTAGTCTTTCCTGTGGTTGTCGTGTAACGCTACAGAACAGCCTGAGCTTGCTGTGGGATTCTCACGCTAAACTCCAGTGCCATGATTGCAATGGTTTGCATCAGCTGTGCTATATAAAACCCTCTTCTCTTGACCTCTGCTCTCAGAGTGCAGGATTCAGATGATAGTTTCTCTCCAGGGCACGCGTGCGGCGCGCGTGTGTATATTATCAGGAGGCGGCGATGCGATGTCAGAACCACATGGCTCTGTTTCACGCTCCATTAGCCCACAACAAAAACACACAGTGTGTGGCTGACCTCATCAGACCGCGAAGAGAATGTGTGTGACGTGCGTGATTGACTCAACAAAACAACTACCGCTCACATTAATGCCTGGTCCAGAATTACCCTCGGCCAGGTTTAAAAACTGAATCAGGATGTTTATACATATTTAATAAACAATTTTAACAAGATATTAATTATCTACTTCTCTTGGTTTATGCTTAGATTAAAAAAATAGCTCTAACCTCATATATATTGTATATTTTTCTATGCTGATTTTATGGGCAAATCTGCAGAGTTTAGTGGAACGGATTTAAACATGGTAAAATGAGACCAACAGAGCTGATGGTTCACTCCTATTGGCTACAGTTACACTGAACAATTATTTTGATAAATCAACTGATTCAACATTATTTGGAGCAAATTAACTTCTATTCGGCTTTTGCATTAGACGTGCTAATAACAATACAGTCAAGAAGATAAAACCATCTTACAGATAAACATATCTATCTATTTATCAATATTACTATTTATTGTAAAATAAGTACATTCAGATGGTAGAGTCAGAATTTGGCGTAAACAGAATGAGAACATGGATCCATCATGCCTTGTTACCACTGTGCAGGCTGGTGGTGGTGGTGTAATGGTGTGGGGGATGTTTTCTTGGCACACTTTAGGCCCCTTAGTGCCAATTGGGCATCGTTTAAATGCCACGGCCTACCTGAGCATTGTTTCTGACCATGTCCATC